CCCCGGCTTTTCGCTCCAGCTTGGAGGCCTTGGGGCCGCCTGGGCCTCGTGAGGGGGTGCTCTGGAGGCCGTGGGGACCTCCTTGGGAATCCTGGGGGGCACCATGGGCGAGGGCACTTCTGGCAACACCCGACGATTGCCCCCCCCCCCCCCCTCCCCTTCCCCCCCTCCTCCCCCCTTCGGCTCCTGTTCGTGTCCGGGCGCGGTCGTTGCGGCGCCTCGTCGAGTCAGGCGCCCGTGCCTCTTGGAGCAGACGGCGGGGACCTTGTCTCCACGCGCCGAAGCCCAGGGCAATGAATTCCTCACGCCGCCCCCCCCCATCGACACCCTCCTGAATACCCGCACACAAACGACATCCCATCGCTTGGACGTCCAGTCTCCGTGCACTTCTCGACTTCGTGCATGAATTTCTTCCGCAGCGTAACCCAAGATGCTCCTCGATGGTCCTCGCCGAGGAAGACATGCACACGTCCGAGCGATGCCAAACCACCGACACCATGCCGGATACCCCCACTTATGTTACTTCCGTCGCACTTCAAGACCAAATCCCAACAATAATTCCCAGCACCCAGAACAGTATCGAAACACTGTCAAACGAATATCGCCTCCCCACGCCCAACACGTGAAAACCCTCCAGTTTCGGTGCTCTCTTGGTGCTCGAAGCTATTTCTGATGGTCAAGGCTAAAGTAGGTTGGAAGACCATAAACCCCACACGAGAACGATGATCTGGCGTGGGCAGGCCCTCCTTCCGCAAAGCTATAGCGAGAACGATCCAGGGCCAGACCCGGCGGAGGGGCCGCAGGCCCGCAAAGACTGCGGCCAGGCAGCACCCCCCTCGAGGAGCAAACAAGGGCAATCGGCGAAGCATCTTGGGCAGGTTAGGGATTCGATCCTTAGGTCGGGCATGTCCTCCTACAGGCGGATTGTGGACGAAAAGCGAAAATATAGTCAACATAACACCAGAGATAGCCAAACATAGCAGAAACATCGACCCCAGACTATTGTTTGCGCCGCAGGCGGCGCTGGAGGCGCCGCTAGGGGGGCCCAGCACGGATCCAAGAGATCCGCGCCGAGCGCCACAAGTTCATGATGTTCATTCCGTCGTTTCATCTTCGAATGTCTGGGCTTAGGTCGGGCATGCCCTCCTACAGGCGGATTTTGGAAGAAAAAATAAGGAAGATTCAAATCATGTTCAAACATAGTCAAATAATCGTCCCCAGCGTACATTTTTTGACTATTTCTGGATACTCCTCCTGTAGAGGGACACACACGCTCGACTTCAATCTGGGCATCGCCTCCGACCCCCCTCCGTTTCGCCCACCCCCGGCCCCTCAGGCCGGCACCTCCGTTGTGCTACTGCCGCGCGAGAAGCTGCGAGAGAGCGCGCGGCGCCGGCGCGGCGCTGTGGGAGGCCCCTTGGCCACGGGAAGAGGAGGACGGAAGTCTGAGGAGGGGAGGTCGGAGGAGGTCGCAGGAGGACGGAGAAGGACGGAGTCCTCCTCCTCCTCCTCCTCCTCCTCCTCCTCCTCCTCCCCCTTCTCTCTTGACAGATAACCCACCCTGTTCGCACCCCCAACCGTGTCGTTAGGGAGTAGGGCGGGCCAGGCGTTGCGCCTGACCTTCCTCGCCATGTACGGCCCTGCAGCTTCGAGTTCGCAGCAGCTGCGCGGACGGAGGGCGGGTCCTCTCCAAGATGTGGCTCTCGCCGCAGCGCCGCGCACATTCGTCTTCAAAATTTGCGGGATCTTCACGGATGGAGGGCGGGTCGTTATCAGAATGTGGCCCTCGCCTAAAGAGACGCGCGCATTCAAAGTTCGCAGCAGCTGCAAGGATAAGGATAGAGGGCAGTTTGCCGGACTCTCGCCATAGCGCCGCGCACATTCGTCTTCAAACTTAAGGACTCGTGTGGTCCAAGTCCCAGGAGTGGCGTTCTGGCTCGATATAGGATGGCCACGACGCAATGGACACGGTGACTCTCGGTGCTGAGGTCCCAGGACTGGCTGTCTGGCACGATCGAGGACTGTCAAGACCCAGCTGTCAGATTGATCCGCGGCGTTGAAGTCCCAAGAATTGAAGTTTGGCACGGTTGAGGATGCTCTGCCTTCTAAGTCATGAACAACTTTCCGGAATGAGCGCGAATTTAAAAAGGGATCTCCGAAGACGGAACTTGGAGGGAGGGTTGACTGCACCATCGTTGGCGGGCCGTGGTCTTCCACTGGACCTTCAACTGCTAATCCTCCTCTCCACCTCCTCCTCCCCCGCCTCGTCCTCCTCCTCTTCCTCATCCTCCCTCTTCAGGAAGAGAAGGAGGAAGGGCCGACGAGGAGGAAGGAAAGAGGAAGGTTCGTCAATCTGCTGGAGGTCTCCAGAGCTCTCTGGCGGCCCCCAGGCAAAGTCCCGAGGATTAATAGGAGGCCCCTGGAGGCCCAAGAGAAACCAGATACGTGCATTAACCTCGAGGAAGATCCCAAAGCCCCCGACGCCTATGAAACGAAACCAGGACGAGGGACACATCGGGTGAGGATCATTCGAGAATCTCTGAGATCCAACGGCCATGGAGGACGTTTCGGGCGCCGCGGCTTTCTCAGAGCGTTCCGGAACGCTCTGAGAGCGCTCCGAAACCTTCTGAAACGGATCGATCCTCGTCCTAGCCCCGTCCGAACGACCCCAAAACCTGCGACGCCTTGCATTTCCCCAGTTCGGGGCCACCGGATCATCCTCCCTGGATTTTTTTTGGCGGCGCGCACAAGGAGGTTGGGGGAGGGGGGAAGGCTTCTTAGAAGGAGGCTGCTCCTTAGAAAGCGCTGGCTTTACATCTGCAGATCAGGCCCGCGCCTTCTAAGAAACAGTGGTGCTTTTAAGAAGCCTCCCCCTTCCCCCACCCCCTCTGCGCGAGGCCGATCGCTCTTCATGCCGCATCGACTCGTGACGGTGCCGGGGCCCGGAGCCAGGCACTCTGGGCAGCGATAGGAAAAGGACGAGAAAAACCTATTGACACAAATTGTTATTGATACGTTCCAGGGATTCCGGGAATTCTAACAGCCTTCGCGCGGGGTGCACTTTGCGTCGGATATCGTCTACTCTGCCTGGCGCCACTAGTCGGTCACCCATTCGCAATCGAGTAGTCGCCCGTAGGGAGCTATTCGGCATTTGCTGATCCCTCTTCTCGTTGCCGAGGCGGGGGGCACGGTGGCGCACCGCCCCGTCGCCCGCCGCCGCGCATTGCGCGCCTCGGCGGATACCCAAAGAGCTGGCAAGGCAAATCACGCGCGACTTAGGACAATTCTCCGAGGGTCGATTTGTAACATGTCCCAGAACGTCTACGAAAATGTCCGGCATACTTCTGGAATCCGGGAATCGATTTTGAAAAATAAATATATTTGGGAAATCTCGTTTTCCGAATTCTTCAGATGTCATGCGCGGCGGGCGCATTCCACCCCTCAAAACTGTTTATTCAAAGTACACGGGCTCCTTTTTGAAAAATTCCGGAACCGCTACTGCAACAAAATCTGCCGCGTTTTTGTTTGGAACGTTCTACAATCCAGAAATGATTCCCAAGCGGTCTGACGGGCGAAACCGGCTGATTCACGCAAAGCGCGCGCGATTGGGCGCGTCGCGCGCCGCGCCCTGCGCCCGCGAACAACACTCGAAGTGGTTGCCTCGAAAATCGCGCCACGCAGCTGCGACTCGCGGACTGCCCGAAAGCAAAACCGAATGCAGCTTGGAATTTCCGAGGGCGCTTTGATGCGCGCGGTAATGCACCGCGTGCATCGAGCAAAGAACCTGCGAGACGGAATGCGCTCGACCATTCGCCCTTGGAGCCCGCGCGGAAGGACGGAAAAACCTGGAACTCTTGAAAACTATCAATATCAATACTTCATGCTCCTTTGAGATAGGCCTCCGCCTCGTGCCGAGCGCCTCGGGCGCCCACCGAGCGCCGCCCGCTGGGGGGCGGTGGAGATGGATAGACCGTCAACGTTCATGGTAAGGATGCACAGTAATTGAGCAGGGACCGACCGTCCCCGCATTCCGATAGGCCTACCACTACATGTTCTTATTAGAACCTAGAAATGTTGCAACACCGAGTACAAAGTTCTTAGAACCGATGTGTTGAAACAAAGCAGCTTCAGCCAGAAATGTCCAAGAACATTTCGTGCAGACCACAGAAGGTTCTTAGAGCATTCGTTGGTGGGCCTGTAGGCGAGCCAGGACGCTTCGCCGCTGCTTGAGGCAAGGGCGCACAACCCTCGGAAGCCCCATTTACCACTCAGAGCTCCTTGGACGTCGGGATGCAAGGGTAGCCTTGACGAAGCAGCGCATCCTTACCATCGGGCCCCATATCTGCTATGGATGGGCGATTGGGCGTCGCTGCGTCCCCCCCCTGAACCTGCCCCCCCCTCACGTTCTTTGCCCCTGACCTTCCTGCAACCCTCCACTCCAACCCGCGATCTGTGGCCCCCCTGCTAGGAGAACGCCCGAGCGGCAACAGGGGCAACCGTGGCGCTGGCTCAAGACTTCGATGCTCTGGCTGCTCCACACGGGGTCCCCCGAAGTCCCGACCGCTGCCCCAGGGCCGGCTCTGCACCCCGAGCAATTTCTGTTTGGTCGACGGTCCCGGGGCCCGGCGAGGGCCCCCGGAGGCCCACACCTGGCAAAAGCCATGCGCCGTGATCGGCTCACGACGAGAGGGTTTATGTCGGGCCTGTCCTCCTACAGGGGATTTCGGACGAACAATGGAAAATCCACCAAAGACGCCCCAGACATAACTACATATGGTTGAACAAAGTCGTCCCGAGACTTTTTGTTGCTACTATTTTTGGATGTTCCTCCTGTAGAGAGACAGGCCCGACTTTAGCGAAGGTGTCTGGGTGGGCCTGGTCGGCCGGCGCAGGGCGCGGCTGCGGCGGGCGACATCTGCGCAGCCGCCGCGGCAGGGCGCGCCCGCTTCCTCGGGGGCGCACCGAGCGCGCGCGCGCGCCGCGGAGGCATGGCGCTCGGGTCAGGCCGCGTCGCCCATGGCGCGCACCTGGGTCTGGACGGTCGGTCGCGCTCGGCCGGCCACGGCGGTCGCCGGCCGCGGTCGCGGTCATCGTCGTCGTCGTCGTCGTCATCGTCGTTCTCGCGGTCGTGGTCGTCGTCGCTGACGTCGTGGTCGTCGCGGCGGTCGTCGAGGTCGTCGCCGTCGCGGTCGTCGTCGTCGTGTGAGGCTGTTGTCGCGTCGTGATCGTAGTGGTCGCGGTCGTCGTCATCGTGGTCGTGGTCGTCGACGTAGGTGTCGTAGTCATCGAGGTCGTCGACATCGACGTCGCTCGGCGTCGTCGACGGTGGAGAAGAAGAGGGATGACGATCGAGGATCGTGGTTGGAGGTTCGAGGCTTTTCGGGCGATCTTCGAGGATCGACGAGGGGGAGGAGAAAGGAGTCCTTTGGTTTTCAAGCTGCTTGGGAGGAGGGACCTTGTTCGAGGTTGGCTGCTTCGTCTAAAGCCTACCCTGCCTAGGAGCGCCCAAGCCTCTTCTCTCCTCTCCTCTGCTCTCTTCTCTCCTCCTCCTCCTGCTCCGACTGCCGCCCTGCTCGGCAAGCTTGCGGCTCCCGCTGGCGCGCAACCGTTAGCACGTTTGCCATCGCACCTTCATGCGTTTGCGTGTTGCGCTCATCATATCTTCCATTAGCTCCTCTCGGCGGTGGCCAGACCTCCGTTTAGCAAGCCTCCCTTTAGGGAAAACGGCCTGGGACCGAAAACGACGGACCTGGCCCCGCAGAAATGCCGACCGCGAAGCCCTCTCGCGAACCGAAAACGGGCAATGCCTTAATCGACGTGTCAAGGTAGGAGGTCGGTCCACCCCCGATCCTCTCATGCTGTAACCTCTCTCTGACTCTCCCTCCCTCCGTGGCCAGCCTGGCTCTGCCTCGACTTGGCCCTGCTGCATTTCGTGCTCATCTCCTCCTCCTCCTCCTCCTCCTCCTCCTCCTCCTCCTCCTCCTCCTCCTCCTCCTCCTCCTCCTCCTCCTCTCTCCTCCTCTCTCCTCCTCTCTCCTCCTCTTCCTCCTCCTCCTCCTCCTCCTCTCTCTCTCTCTCTCTTTCCACGGACCCAGACCACGAATTCAGTGCCTGTGCCCCTCCATGCTGGCTGCTGTTCCTCCACCTGGGGCTTCTGGAGGCCGCTTCTGGGGCACCGACTACCTACCAGACCACCCCGACCCAACCCGAAGACCCAAACATTTCGCCCGAATTTCGGGTTTGGGGGAGGGGGTAGGGGCTCCAGATGCGTGTTCGTTTCAATGTTCCCCGACCCCCCCCACTGGAAATGGAGGGCAACTCGGGGCGTTCGGGTAGGGCTGGGGTGGTTTGGTGGGCGGCGAGGCACCGGGGCACACAAGAAACGACCCAGGGCGGCGCAGACTGTCGAAAATGTCCCGCGGGCCGAAGCCACACCGCAGCAGATCTCGGAGGCCGAGGGAGGGCGACCGAGGACGGCTCCCCCTCCCAGCCTTCGGGGGCCTCCCCCTCCCCCCTTTTTCCTCCTCCTCCGCCTCCTCCTCCTCCTCCTCCTCCTCCGCCTCTTCCTTCTCCTCCCCCACCTCCCCATCCTCCTCCTCCTCCTCCTCCTCCCTGCCTCCCTCCCTCCCCCCTGTTTTCCTCTCCCAGCGCCTCCGGGGGTCTCCCTCGCCGCCACGGCCTCGCCCGCTCCACGAGAGGGCCGAAAAGGGCCTGGAGCTCTCCGCCACGCCCTGATGTGGCGGGAGAAGGAGGACAGTGATGGGAACAGCCCAGAAGCCCCCAGGACAGGACAACAAAATCCCATGGGATGCCCTGGATCACCTGGACCCCCCCCCGCTCCCATCCCCTCCATCCCCATCCTCACCTCTCTTCCTCCTCCTCCTCCTCCTCCTCCTCCTCCTCCTCCTCACCATCCTTCTGGAAGGAGGGGCGGGACGAAAAGGAGTAGGAGGAGGAGGAACGCTGACCAGCAAGGAGGGTAGGGCGGACCAGGGAAGCCGATCCAAGGAGAGATCCACGACACTAACATGACAAGCGACACATCAATCCGCTGCCTCTGGCGGGAAGAAGGGGAACCCCAAAGCACCGTGCATAATCGTCTAGATGCCCCTCACGCCCGCTGCGTGTGGAATCTTCTTTACCCCTTCTCTGCAGGGGCCCCAGGACACACAGATAAATACACACAAATAAACATATTCCCCAGACCGTCCAAGAAGCCTCCAAGACGTCCCAGGCCCCCTCCAAGAGCACCCCCAAGAAGGGCCCAAGAGGCCACACTCGTTACTTTTCCATCGGGAACTTACATTTCTAGCATATACGACGTTTCGGCCTTCACGGCGTCACAGACAGCTTCGTCTTCAGGGTCGGCGGCACCGGCCGTAAGGCCTTCGCAATACACACAAATAAACACATTCCCCATATTTTCTCATATTTTGTTGGGTTTTTGTCTTCTCCCGCACTTCCCATATTTTCCTATATTTTCTGGGGAATCGACGATTAATCGTGTTTGTGTTTTTTTCCCTCCTGATTCTCCCCTAATTCCCCCCTGCTCTTCCACCTCGCTCTCCCGACGAGAGGAGGGCGAGGGGGAGGACGAGGGCACCCTGGAACCCACTGGGACCCCATGCACCTGCTGCACCCCACAGCTCCTCCTCCTCTCTCCTCTTCCTCCTCCTCCTCCTCCTCCTCCTCCTCCTCCTCCTCCTTTCACCAAACACATGGCGCCGTGCGCTTCTCGCGGCGTGGCCCCTGGAACTCTTGCCCGATCGCCGAGAACACGGCCCCTGAAAGCTGCCCCCAGTCGTCGAATTCACGAAGCGGATGACGTCGTGGATTGTTCACGGCCCTGGATCTGCTGGCTTCCCCCTCCCGCTCCCCATGACGACGATGACGAAGACGACGAGACCGCTTTCCCTTCTCCTCCTCCCTCCTCGTTGCCCCCTCCCGCAGGAAACAGGCGACGACGAGATGCGACGACGCCGAGATCCGACGACGTGGGAAAATCATAACGCCGGTTCACAGTCGATCTTTTGACCGCTTTTGTGGGATACCAAACCATCTCGACCAATTCTTCGTGCCGCGTACGGCCGTGGCCACGCAGAACACCCCCAGGAGGCAGGAGGCCCCAAAGGGCACAAAGCAATAACATCAGAGGCATCGTCCAGCGCATCTCAGGGGACGACGGCGAAGGGGAAGCCTCATCCTCGTCTCTGTCATGGGGGGAGCATCGGCCTGGAATCAGCGATACATCGCTGATAGAACGAAGGTCGGCCCCCGATAGCGAAGCAGCACGCTCCTGGTGAGAAGGAGGAGGCGTGGAGTGCGAGGAGGGTGCTGGGGAGTAGAGACACGACGCGGAAGACGAGGGGGAGGCGGAAGAGGCGCCAAGAAGAATGAGGAGGCCGTCAACGATGGCCCTCCGCCGGGCCCACTCCGGGGCCTCTGGGGGACCTGGGCGAGGCTGCATCACCCTCCTCAGTCGGGTCCCGGAGCCACCCGCCCAAATGCACTGAGGTGGCGCCGCCACGCCCGGCGGGGCCCCACGCGCGCCACGCGCCAGCGGACCAGCCAGGCACGCGCAGCGTCCGGCGTGACCCCCCGCTGGGCCGCCGCCGCGTGGAGCGCTGGCGGCCCCGCTGCCTCGACGCAGTTCGCGAGCCGCGCCAGAGGCTGTCACGCGGCGGTCGGCGGCGGGGAGCGCAGTGGCCCTGCCCTGCCGCCAGCGAAGAGAGGGGCGCGTAGCAGCAGGCGACTCACACGCAGGCGGAGAGGAGCGCGGCCACGGCGACGCGTATGGCGAGGACCGCCGACGTCGTGCTCGCCGACCTGGTGGATATCCTCGTGTGGCTGTCCCCACCGCGCCGCGCCCGCTGCGCCTGCCGCAGCCGCGAGCTCACGCACGACTGGGTCCCGGGCAGCCCGGATTGCCCACCCGAACCATGGCACCGCACCGCCCGATGCGCCAGCCCCAGCGAGCTTCGCAAGCGCATGGCCTCGCCCGCCCCAACGGGTACAGGCCATCCGGCAAGCCCCGAGGGAGAAGCGGCTCGCGAGAACAGGAACTGGAAACACCTCAGTTGACCAGCCCTCGCGGACCCGCCTGCTGATGCTTGAGCCGAACGATGCTTGAGCCAAAACTGCTACAGAGGAAGAGGATGCTGCTGATGATGATGATGATGATGATGATGATGATGATGATGATGATGATGATGATGATGATGATGACGATTATGATGATGATGATGATGATGATGATGATGATGATGATGATGATGATGATGATGATGATGCTGATGATGATGGTGATGGTGATGGTGATGGTGATGATGCTGATGCCGATGCCGATGCCGATGCTGATGCTGATGCTGATGCTGATGATGATACTGCTGCTGCTGATGATGATGAGGAGGATGAGGAGGAGTGGATGATGATAATGCTGATGCTGATGCTGATGCTGATGACCACGACGACAACGAGGAGGAGGAGGAGGAGGAGGAGGAGGAGGAGGAGGAGGAGCAGGAGGAAGAGGAGGAGGAGGAGGAGGAGGAGGAGGAGGAGGACGTCCCAGCTGGCCTCAACAGGCCCGCCCAGTAGTCCCAGCTGGCCTCAACACTGGGGCGCGGAGCGCCCCAGGGGCGGCGCCGGAGGTTGAGCCAGGGTGTCGAGACCGCCCTGGACTGCTCGGGGGGCCTGTTGGGGCTGGCTCAGACTTACTCGGCGGGCCCGTCGAGGCTAGCTGGGGCTGCCTGGCGGGCCTGTGTGCAACCCGCAGCCTTACCACCCTGGCGTGGGAGGAACGTCCGACTCGAAGAGCGCACCAGGTAGGTCGGGAACCACTCCGGCGGCGGCCCCGCAGAGGGCTCGGCGGCCCCAGCGTCGGCGGGCTCCTCGTCCTGGCGGGCGGCGCGCGGGTGGCCGTCACCCTCCGGCGGGCGGCCAGCTCGGGCTTGGGCCGGCCGAGGCTCGCCCTCGCGCTCGGGGCTCTGGCTCCTGCTCGGGCTCGGACTGAGGCTCGGGCTCGGACTCGGGCTCGAGCTCGGGGACTCCTCGGCCGCTCAGTGGCTCAGTGGGGACACGCGCAGGCGACGCCAGCCGAAAGTCGTAGCCAAGGCTGGACTGGCGGGGCCAACCGCAAGACGGTGAACAGGACAGAACAGGATCGGCTCCCTGGGTTTGCGCCACGTTGCGGGCCCGTGCCCCCTCGGGAGCGCCTCGTGGGCGCCCCGTCTGCTGGGTGGGTCTCCCGGAGTTGCGCCAGGGTGGCCGCCCCGTGGGCGCCTTGTGAGCTGGGCGCGTGTCTCCCCGAGGCCGTGCCACGCTGCTGTTTGTCCTGTGGCGTTTTCCTGTGGCCAACGCCGCGCCTTCCGGTGGCTCTGCTGCGCCCCGGCTCGCAGCGCACACCGCCAGAGGCGGCGGAGAGCTCGAGAGATCCACCTGCCAAAAAGGCCGCCTCGTGGAGCGCCCCGTGCGCTCGGAGGACTTCGAGCTTGTGCCGCGCGGGCGCCTCGCGGACGCCTCGTGGGCGCTCCGTGCGCTGAGCATTTGCCCCGAGGTTGTGCCACGCTGCCGCCCGTGCCGCCTCGCTGGCGCTCCGTGCTCAGAACCTGCACGGCGAAACTTCTGCCACGCAGCCGGCACCGCACGGCTAGCACCGCACAGCCTGCACCGCACGACCTGCACAGCACGGCTCACGCCACAAAGCTGACACCCCAAAGCTTGCACCTCCAGCTCCCAGAGCATAGCTTGCGCGACCTAGCTTACACCCCATGGCTGACACCGCATTGTTTTTTCACCTCCATTGTTCATGCCGCATAACCTAAAGCGACACAGCTTCCATCAAATAACGTTACCTTCCACCTCCACCGCGCAATCACGCCCTGTCTATGGTCCACGCTGGCTAACACAGAAAAGGATGTTTGTACCAGTTTGTTTGAACTGTTGTTCTGCTCCACGGCGTGCGGTCAGCAAGCCATGCCCGCGGCACCAAGCCCCTCCCCCTCCCTCCCAACGCTGGCGCGCGCGGCCACTACTCCTCCAGCGAGCCGTGGCCGTTGGCCCCATGCTCCTCTTCCTTCTCCTCCTCCTCCTCCTCCTCTTCCTCCTCCTCCCACTCCTCCTACTCCTCCCGCCTCTCCGCCTCCCTCCTCCTCCTCCTCCTCCTCCTCCTCCTCCTCCTCCTCCTTCTTTCCCCCTCCCTCCTCGCACTCTCTCTCTCCCGCCCCCTTCCACCTCCTCTTCACGCCGCCGCCGCCCAGATTGCGGCGGCGGCGAAGACGACGCCCGCAAACCCTCGGCGAGGCCTCGTCGGCGGAGCGAGGCAGCACGGCCACCCACTCCCACAGCTCCGGCCGCTGCCGGGCCTGGGCGCGCGAGGGGGGATGCTCAAAAGTGCGCTGCTCGGCGAGGGGTGCGGAGTCCAAGGAGGAGGAGGAGGAGGAGGAGGAGGAGGAGGAGGAGGAGGGCGGAGGGCGGAGGGCGGAGGGAGGGGAGGAGGAGGAGGAGGAGGAGGAGAGGGGGAGGAGGGAGGACGTGAGGAGGAGGAGGAGGAGGAGGAGGAGGAGGAGGACGAGGAGGAGGAGGAGGAGGAGGGAGGAGGAGGGAGAAGGAGGGAGGAGGAGGAGCCTCCTGCTGCAGGGTATGATGCTGATGCCCTCGAGGAGGGCACGCCCCGAGGAAGATCAGGGGGGAGGAGGAGGCGGCGGCGGCCAGCCACGCCCACCCACCCTCGCAGTCAGCGCGGGCCTCGAGTCCCGGGGGGGACCCCGGACACCCGCCGAGGCGCTGTGCAGTCCTTCGCAGGTCAACCGATTGAGGCGCTTCGAGCACAGGACGTGCCTTGCTGCAGGAGTCCTGGGCCTGCGGCAGTCGTCAACATGGGCGCCTGCTGATGATGACCTTGAGCGTAGGCGAAGCCCTGACGAGTCGGGCGGGGCACGTGGGCTCACCCATCCTTGAAGGCGGTGCTCGTGAAGGTTGGGAGGGTGGGCCTTTTAGCCCCCGAGCCTGTCGCGAGGACCGCCGATGGCACGCATTGGTGGACGGCATGCGCATTCCGCAACGCCCCCCTTCCACCCCCTGCGTCCACAGTCCTATTGCTGCTCATCCCCTTTCCCCCTCCTCCTCCCCCTGCGCCATCCCCCTCCCCCTCCTCCCCCCTCTGGCCTGCTGGGTGGAGGAGGAGGATGGGGAGGATGGGGAAAGAATGCGGACTGGAGGAGAGGGTGGAGAAGAGAGTAAGGAGGACAAGGAGGATGGAGGAGTTGTTGTTTTCCCCTCCCCCCCGGAAACCACTGGAGATCTCTCCTGACCTACGAAAGCTCCCCCCGAAGGCATGTGGACCCTCAGCCTACCGACCACACCCACAGAATAATGGAACCTGACCCCTCCTCCTCTTGCTCCCCATCCCTTCTCCCGCACCAAATTCCCAAAGAGGAGGAGGAGGAGGAGGAGGAGGAGGAGGAGGAGGAGGAGGAAAAGGTGCAGGACCAGGAGGAGGAAGAGGAGATGGAGGAGGAAGAGGAGAACCAGGAGGAGGATGAGGAGGACGAGGAGTAGGACCAGGAGAAGGAGGAGGAGGAGGACCAGGAGAAGAAGGAGGAGGACCAGGAGGAGAAGGAGGGCCCCGCCTTCTCCCGCCCTCGTTCCCACACCATGGTCACCAAGTGGGGCACAACTTGGCAGTGGGGTCGGAACGCTTTCCAAACTCGCATACCGAAGGGGTCTGCGCGCGGCCCCTCTTCCAACGACTTGGCGAGGAGAAAACTACGCGGGCCGCGCAGGGGCGGGATCGGCGAAGCCGAAGCACGCGCCGCGCTGGCACAGCAGTGCCGCTCTCACTCGCAAGCTGCGCGGCGCTTTGGCCACCTCTCGCGCGGCCCCACGGCCGCTGTCGCTTGCATGCGCTTCGACGAGCGAACCGTGCACCGCGTCCGCGCTGGAACGCCACTTCTGAGCCAACTGCGCACAGAACTTGGGCGAGGGCGACAAATCGCCCACTCGCGCTGGGCCCATAGAACTGGCGAGTGACAAATGTGCACCGCGCCCAGGCGGGAACGCCACTTTCAGGCGACGCCTGTGCGGAGCCGAAGCTAAAACGACATTTTCGTCCGCTCGCACGACGACAACACGCGCGAAACATGTGCCGCGCCTGAGCGGGAGCCCGATTCTCTGGAACAGTGAGCGACAGTTTGGCCTTTCGCGCGGGATGCGCGTCCCGTCCCATTCCTGCCACGCATTTGGCAACATGGACGACATAATGCCCAAGTTGATACGAGAAATCGTGGACTTCGTATGTGTTCTACAAGTAGGACGGCAGGATCCAGACTGGGTCGCCATCGGCCAGCTGGGAGGACGAATGGGAGTACATACTAACAAGGGGTGTGGATAAGGAGGTTGAGAAGGAGGAGGAGGAGAAGGGGGAAGAGTAGTTGGGACGACAATGACACTGACGATCCCAAGCGCCCAACGGTTTTGATGTTGAGACACAGTCCCCTCGAATTCTCGAGCCCTTTCCCACGGCCAGTTCTTTATTCTGGATGTTTTCTGTTGACGGCCTCGCCATACACCGAAATCCGATACACGCCTCCGACTGATTTTTGTGTCGAGGCGTTGGGGGCCTAGGGACGGCAACGACGACACCGATGACGGAGCGGCTGCGACTTCGGACGCCCGACATGGGTATGGACAACATGGGCACGATGCCCGACAGCAAATGTTGTCCAACACCGATAGCGCCCGCTGTGGGGCGGGGCACTTTTTGTTTCAAGTGGACAACGTCCACAGCGACAGCAACAACGAGCCCTATCCCAAATGGGCAGGAACTGCTGTCGGGCTTCGCCTGCAGACGTTGGCGTTTGCAGACGACGACAACGACAACGAAGGCACAGTGGCGGGGACAAGCCGCGCTGAAGAATCGAAACCAAGGACCGACCACATCGATGTTAAAAACTGAATGGCGTTTACAACGAACCGCAAAATTAGGCCAAAACGTTACAACGAACATTGAAAACGAAGCAGGGGTCAAACGAACACGAACGACAAAACGGGGATATTAATCGACAACGGAGAAAGCAACGACACAACACCGAAAAACGAAACGAAGAACAAAGCAAGGGCCCAAACCAAGCTGAACAGCAATGTGGTCGGCCGTTGGAACCGAGGCCCGAGATCTTCCCGGTGACCCGTCCCAGCTGCTTGCTTCGAGCTGCGCCTGGCCGTGCCCCGAGCAGAGAGCCCCTGGAAGCAGCCAAGGCCCTTCCGAGACGACGACGCCGGCGCGGACGACGGCCCAGATCTCCGACGACATTCGGCGGCGAGCCTGGGGGGAAACGAGCAGGAGAAGGCATTCTCAGAGGGCTCGGAAGTCCCCCGGCCTTCTGACAAGTGTTCCAGGCCTTCCCCGAAGATGCACACAGACATCTTCTCAGCAGGCGCGGGGGCTTCTGAGCAGTCCCGCCCCACTCTGAGAATGCCTTCTTCTTCTCACTTGCCCCCCTCGCTCGCCGCCGAGATACGGTGGGGAGGCATTGGATAAGGAAACCTTCGATAAGGAACCCAGGGTCTGGAAGCCAGTGGAAAGCCAGTCGTGCATCGGCCATGGATATCACCGCCGCCCTCATTGGATCAAGAATCCTCCAGGATCTGGGGCCTCCTGGGACTATTCCTTCACAAACTGTGGGTGACCCAAGAGGGGATCCTGCTGAAAGGGGGTGATGCACTAGATTCGGGGCAATTGCAGTGCACATGTATTGCGCCAGAGAATTGCATGGCGTTGTATTGCAAGTCGTGCGTTGCACGCGAAAATCCAGCAATACATTTACGCCCCGGAATGTATCGCACGCCCCAAATGTATTGCGACCCCACGAATCTATATATATATATATATATATATTGCACCACCCCCTTGTCGCTGGACCCCCTTTTGGGTCAACCCGACAATCGCCTCCACCGTGTGATCTTCTGTCCACCGGCGCTCTCTCCTCGACCCGGGCCCCCGGGGCCCTTTGTCGGGCCCCCAGGGGTCCAGCAGACTTATTTGTGGCGTCGACAGCCAGAGGCAGAGCAACTGCGCTGGCGGAGAGCTACCAAAAAACGAGCGTGCCGTTGTAGCAAAGTGTGCCATCACGAGAAGCCAAGCTGCCCCAGGAAAAGAGGGGGAACTCAGGGCCCGCGAACTGAAGAACATAACCATCTCTCAGAGCACGCCAGGGGAACACGCCCGGGAGGGCGAGCACGACGACGGCGCTGCAGCGAAAGAGCGCAAGGCACCGGCGCCGACGCGTCGCCAGCGCCAACCACGAAGCTCAGCCGCGATCGGAACATGCAGACCGAGACGCTCCCGCTAGAAAGGCACTACATCTACAGTAGGGGCCCGACCACGAGAACCCGTCCACAAGGAACCCAACCCTGAGACCCCGGGACGCCCATCGGTGTCTGGCGTGGGAACGTCACGCTCTCCGTGGCAGAACGACCGAGACCCAAGAAGTCCAGGGCACCCTGGAGGCAAGCAGGGTGTTTCTTGGCATGAGCCCCGCACTGTGTATATATAATGTATATATATGTATGTATAGGTATACCCAGCCATATATACATGTGTGTATGTATGTATTCATATATGTATGTGTGTATGTACATACGCATGTATATAACTCATATAGTTGTGTATATATGTAACCATCGGGGACGCCTGTCCTTGGAAGACCGTGAAGAGTGAATCTACCCCCGCGATGCTTCTCAGATGGCAACCGAAAGGTACCCACCGCGCTGCGACGGGCGGCGCCAATGGCCGAACAGTTCTAAAGTTCTGCATGCCTTCGCTCTCGCCCAAACGGAGGGGCGAGACCATGTCGCTTCTACATGTCTGCGCTCGCCAACAATACAGGGCAGGATGACCTCTACACCTCCGACCTGGCGTTGCTGTCGCCTCGTGGACCCCCCGAGGTCTGGACCTCTGTCCCGAGTGCGGTTTTTGTCCTTCCGCGCCGTTCTCTGGCAGCCCCGGGGCCATGTGAGGGCCCCCCGACGCCGAACATGGGCAGAGGCGAGTCCCGCATGTCCTTGTCCAAGGCGCGAGGAGGTCTGGAAACGGGGAGGAGGAGCAGGGCGACGGCAGAGACGAGGACGGGCGAACAATGCACAAACTGAAAAGACTAAGAGGAGGTCCGCGTGGACTTCTTGGATCGGCGCTGGGCCCGTTGAAGGACGAGGTGGGGAAGACAGAGGAGGAGAAAGGGGAGGATGACGAGGAGAAGGACGACGCCCACACACTGACAGAAGACGAGGAGGAGCAGGTTGAGGAGATCGTGGTGGACGAGACGGGGGATTCTACAGGCCTGAATGTCAGCGACGCCAAATACGAGCTGACGGCGGCGATGCGTGCCTTTCTACCCCCAATCTTGGCGTGTTGGACCAGCCGCTCCTAACGCCAACCACCCACTTATAGCCGAACAGGGGGAACATGTTATTGACTCTGCAAGGTGCGCAGGAGTTGCCATGGGGACAAGAGCCCCAATTCCAGCTTGACTGGGCCAGGGCTCGCTCGCAAAACTCCGGCTGGCAGGCTCTGACAGGTGAGGCTTACCCGGAGCCATGTCAGAAACATTTGAACTTTCAGCCAACCCCTCTTCCAGACGGAGCACTAGGGCTGGGGGCAGAAGGGTTCCCACGGGGTCTCCCTGGTTCTCGCCCCTCCCCCCCGACTTCGTTGGAGCCGAACACCTCGCAAAGAACATTTGAAACCTTGGGGTGGCGGCCCTTCTTGAGGGAGCGCGCAATCGCAGCGGCTGGCTTCGACAACGCCTCATTGGGACATGTCCTTGGGACATGGACGATAAGCAGCACGCAACTGCAGGAGCACCATAGCAGGAGTCGACCGTCGCAGAAGTACCCATAGCAGTTTACCAACTATACAGCATGGTGCAGCTTGAGCAGGTGAAGCCGATGATCTATTGACTCCTCTCTGCAAGGGTCGTGCCCGGCAGTGGTGGCTGTCCAGAACAGGTTGCTGCAGGCGGCTTATCATCCAGTCTGTCAAGTTTCTAAACGAGCTTGACACCTCCTGGACGGATGGCACCAAAAACAACCACGCTGCAAACTGCACTCTTCTTTGGCCGGCTGGAGGGGGCGAGGGTGCCCCAGTGATGTCGAGCTTCGGCCTGTTAGGCACGAGCGAAAACGCAAGCTTGCAAGTTACACAGGCCAGTCGTACGACTTCGGCCTAATCTCTCTCGGTTCCCTGTCCGAGGGGTGAAGGTGGGCGGCAGCTCTTTGCTTAGCTGCAGCGACTGCAGAGTCGTTCTCACGGTTGCAGGAGCTTCGTACTCAGTCACGTCTGGCCTGTAATGGGCATGAGCGTTGGCCTTGACAACCAGGCTGCGTAAATATTCGCGCGTAGGAAACATGCCTGCGCATGGACTCTTTTGGGAGGTCTGCCTAGGCGAACTGCTTGACCACATTGCTGCAGCCACTGCAGCTTGTCGAATGCCCAACTAAAAACTCGTTGGCGGCACCGTTGGCGCCAAATTCCCTGGCCTGATCTGTTCGGGAAAGATTGGACCACATGGGGCTCCAAAGGGAAACTACTACATGCACGACATCTGGACTAAACACAGCCACTCCCCAGCCAACCCTGTTTAATTCTGAAGCTGCAAGTTTGAACCGTTTGAAGCCACGCGCCCTTGAATCTCAGTGCTGACACATGACGGGCCTCATGGCCAGGAAGCACAAACGGGATCCTGCAAGGCTGGCGGCGGCAGGGTCACTTGGGCGAGGGAAGCAAGCCATCGTGAACAACTGGAAATCTGGACGATCCTCGGGAATGTCCAAGGCCCTTTGAACATCACGATTGTTAGCGGTCTCCGGTCTCTCCGAATCGACCGCAGGACATTCCCAAACTCGGTGCTTGATTGTGTCCGGCGCTTGCCGAAGCAGCGGGCAGTCTAAACCCTCTAAGGCGTGTCCAGCCTCGTGGGCGCGCATGCGGGTCCACATGCGGTCGAAAGCGATGCAGTGGCGCCAGCCTGCGAGATCTGCTCGCTGTCTCGACGACGTCGAAGCAGGCGGCATTCGAGCCCGAGCTTGGCCCCCAACTGCCTCTCGAGCTCTCTCAGGACCTTAGTGGGCCCTGGAAACGACAAGGCCGGTTTTTTTACCGGTTCCGTTTTGCCGTTTTTTTGCCGGTTCCGACGCCGTTTTTTTACCGGTTCCGTCGCCGTTTTTTGACCGGTACTGGCTCCGGTTCCAATCCTGGAGCAGACTTTGTTGCCGTTTCCGGTCGCCTTTTTTTGCCGTTTCCATTTTCAAGGGATATTTTCTGGAAACGGTACAAAAACGGCCCTGCCGTTTCCGGGGCCCACAAAGCTCAGGACCCCCTGATGGAGGAACCTCTTGGTCAACGTAGGTGGGGATGCCGTCGGACTGGCATGTGCTGCGCGGCCTATCTAAAAGTGCGATTTGAAATCCCGCATGCCCCACACGATGCAACGCAAGGGCATTCGAACTGCAGGCAGACGCCCAGTGACCGACCTCCATGACAGATCGCCTGCAGAGAAGGCAGAGGACCACGCCTCGCGGAGCACGCCGAAAGGAAGGGTGACGTTGAACTGGATGATGTACCCACCTCGACAAACTCGCAGAGACTGGGGGTTCGCCCAGCAGCAGGGGCAGGCTGTGGAACAGGAGCTGCAGCAAGCATGGTCGCCTGGCGCCGCTGGTTGACAAGGTCGCGATGAATGCCGTCCTGCACATCTTGCTCGTCGCAGGACTTGGTGCACTCGCGCTTCTTCTGGATGATATTGGCGCTCCAATGGTCGAGCGTGTCGCGTTCGCGGCCCAACTTGGCCTCGAGGCTCCGCGCGATCTTGAGCACTTCGGTGACCTGCTGCTGCTGCTGCTGCAGCAGAGCAGCACGAGCCATCGAAATTTGGCTTTGTCGATATTGGCCTGATACTGCTTGGCGAAACTTTCGTTCCCGAGCTTGTCGGCCAGGGCCACCATGTGCTGGAGGCCCGCGACATCCTGCGCCGTAGAAATGCAACACTGCCCAACCGCCCGAGGAGCAGCAGGACCATGAGCGCCACCGGCATCGGGAGAAACTGGAGGAGGCGCTTGCTGTCCTCGGTTGGTGCCGTTGTGCTTACAGAGCCAGAAATAGAAGAAGGTCTTGGCGCACTTGCATCTCGGGTCCTCGCACATCCAACGAACGGGAGCCCGTCGTTCCTGCGAGGCCTGGCATAGAGCGCTCACGCCGCAGCGGACGCCGCAGCCCTGCGAGGAGGGGCCCATGGCTTAGACATGAGAGCACACCTTTAGGAGTGTGGCAATCGCACAAGACGAGGGCCACCAAATTGGCTCACCAACGCCAGACCGTTCCCAAGATATGCAACGGCAGCTTGAGCCCACCCTGTCCCGAGAGGAACGGCCCGAACAGGAGGCAAGAGTAGGATGAGGGGGAGGAGGAGGAGGAGGAGGAGGAGGAGGAGGAGGAGGAGGATGAGGAGAGGAGGAGCAGGAGGAGGAGGAGGAGGCAAGGGGAGGCAAGGGGAGGGGGAGAGGAGGAGGAGGAGGAGGAGGAGAGGAGGAGGAGGAGGAGGAGGAGGAGGAGGAGGAGGAGGAGGAGGAGGAGGAGGAGGTGGAGGAGGAGAGGAGGTGGAGGGGGAGGAGGAGGAGGACTAGGAGGAGGAGGAGGAGGCAAGGGGAGGTGGAGGAACAGGAGGAGGAGGAGGAGGAGACGCCGCGAGGCCGCGCCCCCAGGCAGAGCGCGCGGGAGGGGGGGGGGGGGCGCAACGGCGAAGCCACGGGGCAGGAGCGCAGAGGTGCGGTGGTGCTCCCAGGCTCCCTCCCTCCCCATGCCCTCCCCCCTCCCCGGATCCGGAGGAGGAGGACGACCCGCAGCAGCGAGGGCGAGCAGCCCAGCCTCCTCATGCCCTCCTCCCTCCTCGGATCCAGAGGAGGACGACGACGGCGACCCACAGCAGCGAGGGCGTGAAGGCCCAGCCTCCTCGGGACCGACGGCCACGCGCAGGAACGCGCCCGCCTTGCCAGCGCCCAGGAGAGGCAGCTCCCCCTCGAAGCCTCGCCCGCTCGGGCCGGCGGAGCCCCCGCCTCCCGCTCCCGCCCGTGGAAGTTGTGTGCCAGTGCCCTGGGACATGCACTTTTGCAGCAATTCCCCCACGACCGCACTGAGGCGGTTCATCCTGACCGCCATCTCACCATCGTCAGTAGTACCAGCACCACCATCACCATCATCATCACCATCACCACCACCACCGTCATCATTTGACATCAGGATCATGACCATCACTGCAATCACCATTACCATCATCATCACCATTATCACCAACACCATCATCACCATCACCATCACCATCACCATCACAATCATCATCATCATCATCATCATCATCATCATCATCATCATCATCATCATCAGCATCATCAACATCACCATCATCACCAGCATCACCATCATCACCATCATTACCATCATCACCATCATCACCATCACCGACATCATCATCACATCATCGGCATCATCATCACCATCATCATCATTGCGACCATCATCGCCCTGGTCATTGCCATTCCAATCACCATAAGTAACATTCCTCCTCTACCTTCTCCGCCTCTCTCTTCCTCCTCCGCCTATCCCCTTACGCATCCTCACCCCTCCTCCTTCTCCTCCTTCTCCTGCCTTCCTGCTGCCCCCTCTTCTTCTCAATCGACATCGTCGTCATATCCTCGCCATGCAGAGCACAACACAGATCATGACTACGGCACTGCCAACATGACACCTTTTCAAAATGCATGAGGTATCTCGCGCCGTACATTCGCTTGCTGATCGTGCCACTGTTCAGTCAGTGCTACGACGACGACGACTGGCAGCTAGCAATTCGCATTGTATTGCACGTGCTGTGAGCTGTGCGCTGTGCAATGGTTTCCTACGGTGCTGCATATATCCGAATGATGCTATTACTGCGCGGACCATGTCATGTACATCTGCCGCTGAAGCTGATATAGCTTTACATGTGTTGCCGATCTCTGGTATTCAGCCTGCACTCTATTGTGCGACAATTGTGGTCGTACGACTACTGCACTACTGCGCTGCTGCTGTACAAACGCGTTCACCCTCTCGATTACAATATTGCTGCATCGTGCTACTGCCATCCTTCGCATGGGCTTCTCCTGTGCACTGTGCCCTGCAGTGTGCGCGGTACTACTACTAAATGCGCTACATGCCAATGCTCACTCTACAAAGATAGAGCCGAAGACGGATCTAGGAGTGGAGTACGGGTAGGGAGCAGGATGATGCAACTGACAAGTGCCAAACAGAGGAACGAACCACATGACGACCAGCTGGACAATACATGGCCAAGCATAGCAATACGGGGGTCTTCCTCCTCGACCCGCCCTGGAACGCTTGGGATCTGCGTGCGGGATTTGCGGCTACCGCGGTTGTCGCCGTCGCTCTCGTTCACGTCGCTGCGTTCGTTCGTCTGCCGATGTCGTGTCGTCGGCGTCGCCCGTCTTGGCAATCGTCGCCGGTGGCTGTCTTTTTGCCATGTCTGCCTGGACCTCGAGCCCCATACGCGCAGGCGCGCGGGAGGCCCACCGGGCGAATCCTAGAATCTGGGACGCTCTTGTGGACGCCCGAAGTGGGCACGGAAAAAATGAGCCCCAAACCGAATGTTGCCCAACACTGACGACACCAAATACTGTCCAAAGCAACGCACACCACACACAACAGCACACGTTGCCCCCCTTGCGAGTGTCCAACAGCACATGTTGGCAAACACCGCCAACGTCCGCTGTTGGGCAGGCGACCTCACACGCAAAAAAAGGTCCGCGAAGGCGCCGGCAGCGAGTGCTCTCCACAGGGGGCAGGAGCCGCTGAGGGCCTTCGTTGACGGGCCGATGTTCCACCATGTGGAGGTCCTCCTCCTCCTCCTGCTCCTCCTGCTCCTCCTGCTCCTGCTCCTACTCCTCCTCCTCCTCCTCCTGAGGCAGTGAGGCAATGACGACAGTGGAGTTCTCCAAACGCAGCCGCTTTTCCTCCTCCTACCTCTCCTCCTCCTCCTCCTCCTCCTCCTCCTCCTCCTCCTCCTCCTCCCAGGGCAAGGAAAAGAAGAAGAGCAAACGCATGGAGGGCAAGGTGAGATTGCAGTGGGCGCTGACGATGACCAACAAGACGGCTGCGGAGCTGGACGAGGTGCTGCGCTCGGAGCTCATCCGTCAGGGGGCGGAGATCACGACAGGAGCGGCGCCACGCGGTGTCTTGGAGAGGGACGCCAGAGCGCTCTTGAACAAGCTCGAAGGAGGCTCCAACCAGCTGATGTGAGAAGGATGGACATGATGTCGTCTAGCGCTAGGCTCGAGGATTTAATTCGGAGAGGAACTGTTAGTCGTGAAACGGTTCTAGCCTCATACACTTCTGTTCTCATGCCCGAGGTTTCAACGGATTCCCAGGGCCGTTGTGTGCCTGTCGCAAAAATTCGGCCGCGCCCTAAGGGGCGTGGGAGGGGTAGAGGGCGAAACCAGAATCCCTCTGGGCGTGGGAGGGGGTAGGGGCCGCTTGTGCGTCGAGCCCTGCTGCAGGGGATGCCGTTGGGGGCCCTTTGCGGCAGGATGCGGCACCAGGCTGCACTCACTCCCTTTCGTAAGACTTTTGGGCCGCCACCTCCTCGCCCGAAGCTCATACCTTTTGGGGCCGAGGAGGGGCCCGAGTGATATTTTCCACCAGTGCCAGCGTGAAAACTCGGTTGCAGCCAATCTGGTTTGCCGCCCAGCGATTTCAACAGTCGGATAACTCTGCTTGTCTTCGCCCAGGGATGTCTAAGTCTAAGTCTCCTCCTCCTCCTCACGAGGAGGAGCGGGGGAGGACGAGGAGGAGCAGGAGGAGGAGGAGGAGGAGCAGTAGGAGGAGGAGGAGGAGGAGGAGGAGGAGGAGGTGGACAGGGGGGAGGAGGAGGAGGAGGAGGAGGAGGAGGAGGAGGAGGAGGAGGAGGAGGAGGAGGAGGAGGAGGAGGAGAAAGAACAGGAAGATGAGGCTTTAGAACCAGTCCTTTCCACCGCCGTGTGAACAGCTGGGGGCGGGACCCAAACAAATGACCCTCAGGGGTTCCTCCTCCTCCTTCTCCTCCCCCTCCGCCTTCTCGCTCTCCTGCGTATGGTAAAGGTGGTCGGACATCGGCCCATCATGTCGCTGCTGCTCTTTCCGTGCCCCTTCCGAACCTCCCGAGCTCCAGGCCGTGGCGCGCACGCCCTCTTCCGCCGATCGGCCACGCCTCAGGCGGGCAGGCAGCGCGCGGCCTCCTCGGCCGTCGTGAGGCAGCCTCTGCCCGCGGGAGGACCGCGCCCGGGCTCGGAGCCCCGCCTCCGCCCTCCCCGGCCCCCCCCCCCCCAGCAGGTCGTGAGAACAGGCGCCACGACGGGAAGCTCTGGGCCACCTTCGGCCTACAGGGCAATCCCACCAGCCCTCTGGGCGTCGGTGGTTTAGGGCGCTTCCTCTTCCACCCCTCCCTCTTCCCCTTCGGGGAGGGGTTTACCCCTCCCCCTACCCCCTCCCCACTGACCTGGACAGGAGGGGCGGGGAGCGGTCAGAGCGTCCAAGATGGCCCAGGACGGCTCCAAGAGGGCCTCAGAGAGCCCAAGATCGCCTCCAAGATGGCTCAAGATAGCGCAAGATGCCTGAAGATGGTTCAGAAGACGCTCCAACACGCTCCAAGACCGCTCCAAGATGGTTCCAAGTGCCCACAAGAGCATCATTAGAGTGCCCTCAAAAGGCCGAAATGCTTCAAAACCCAAGGGAAAATCAATGTTTTTGGTGTTCTCACTTTTTCGCTTCCGAAGCCCATCCGAGGCCTCAAGATGGCGCCAAGATGTCCCAACTGGGCCCCAACAGGGGCCCAAGAGAGCCCCAAGACTGCCTCAACAGCGTCCAAGAGCGCTCCAAGAGCGATCCAAGAGGGGTCCAGGAAGCGATTTTAGACAGTCTGGAGGGGCAACGCTAATTAAAGCTCTGCTCTTCTTTGGTACAGTTGCTCCACGATGCCCCCCCAGAGCGCCCCGATGGCGTCTAAAAGGAACCCAGACTCCCAAAAACTGCTTCAAAATAAATTCAATCGAGCGCTCGCGCGGGACGCGAAGCCCAGAATACTGCGAAAACACATGTAAGAGCAACCGAAACGATCAAATGCTTCTCACAGAAATATGTAGGATGGGCTGGTGGGGATACGCGAAGCGTCAAGAATTTCTAATACATGGGATTTGTTTCCAATACAGGGTTTTTAAAGATGATTAATTTATGAATAAATCTATGCATGAACTCATCGTTGTTTTTAATACTGACCCCCTGCATTTTTGATACACGATCCGCACGCGGAGCATGTATAAAAAAACGGCACTGTACGGCAAGAGATCGGCTCAGGACGACAACCGGGTCCCGGGAACAGGGGCCCGACCTCTCTTGGGGTCCCCACGCTGCGACAGCATCACGACGTCGGGGATCCGGCTCCTCCTCCGCCAGCGCCCCACCCCTCGAGCCCAGGTCTCCGAGAGGATGCTCTTCCCACCCCTCCCGTGTGTTGGGCCTCGTTTGGGACTCGCAGCGCCGCGCCCCACCCCACCTCGCATTTTCTTCCTCCTCCGCTGCTCTTCTGCCGCACTCCTCCCGCCACGTCCTCCTCATCCTGCTGTTCCATCTCCCCACCGCCACCACCACCGTTTCGGCGCACCCGTCGCACGCTTCGTGGCCTCGCAGGGAGCTCCTCCGAAGGCCCCAGCGGCAGCGTCCGCATGCGCACTCGGCCCCATTCTGGCGCACCCTTCGCAAGTTCCGTGGCATCAATAGGGAGGTCCACGGAAGGCTCCAGGGGCAGGGTTCGCGTGTGTACTCGGGTCCTTTCGGCACACGCACACGCACACGCACACGCACACGCACACACAGACACACACACACACACACTCACACTCACACTCACACACTCACACTCTCACACACACACTCACACACACTCACACTCACACTCACACTCACACACTCACACTCACACACACACACACGCACACACACACAC